CTTTGCCCTGGAGGAGGTGGGAATGGGGGGTGAGGTGGGGGGAAGGTGAGGGGGGCGGGAGGGGGGAGAACAAGGGAATCCGTGGCTGATATGTATAACTGAATTGTATTGCAACATACAAATAAAAAAAATTTAAAAAAAAAAGCAGACTTACAACGTCCCACTGCTGAAGAAAACAACTACATATCTCATTGAACATAGAGAAGTCAATTTGGTACTTAATGAGAGCCTTCACGCCTACTGAATAGTGTCCATGGTCCTGGAGAGTACTCTGCATGCTACCAGAGGAGAAAGGTAAACATCAAACCAGCTATAAACCTATTTGAGCTACAAGCTATTGATCTACAATAGTGACATGCCTACATGATATAGTGCTATCATAGTGCCACAAAAGTTATGGGAGTAACCAACCACTATCTAGATTCAAGTCCTCCTCCATGAGACGGAATCAATGTCTGACACTGCTCGGTTGGCCAAGAATCTGGGACCAGGGGAAAACCAAATGCTATTGTTCTGCTAAAGAAATGTAGCAATATGACTCCTAATGAAATTCTGCTATACTCATAGATCAGCCTCTTGCTCAACATCAGAAAAAACTTCTACTTGTAGTATATGGGGACAATGTGCAGTGTGAGAGATCTTTGAACATCCAGTCCTAACTGGGATGTCTCCATAAAACCTCTCCCCTTAGGGGTCAGGGAACTTTTGGAAAAAGAGGTAGGAAGTGGAAAGATTGTAAGTAGAGATGGAAGACATTAAGGAAACAATGTATTCCAGATACAATAGGACTGATGCACATATGAACTTACAAAGAATGTAGCAGCATGCACAGAGCCAGTACAGGCCCAAGCCAGATGGGGTTCTAGCACTGAGATGGGAAGTGGACACAATCTTCCAACCAAAATCAAAAAGCTATCTCTGATTGCCAACCACTTGCAAAGGCAAAGATAAAATTAGTTTTCTCCAATGAAGACTCATTGGGTATACAAACAATACTAAAGGTCAGGCCCCATGCCCAGCAGTAGGTTGCAAACACAAAACATACTCAGTGTTTATTTTTTTTTAGACTTTATTTGTTCTATTATTTATTTAATTATGCATTTATTTATTTACTTATTTTTGCCATATAGTTCTTGTCTGGGCAGTTTTTACTTTACTGATCTCTTGCTGATAAATTTGGCTTCTGATTTTTTTTCTTGATTTTGTTTTATGGGTTTTCTGAGAGTGTACATCTTTACGTGCATATGTGCTTCTGTGTACTTTGTTTTTATTCTTTTTTCTCTGTTTTGCTCTATTCTGGTTTGTTTATTTTTCTAAAGATAGAAAGAATGAAGGTGTGGAGTAGGGGAGGTGAAGGAGGGGAAACTGATCAGAATACACTGTATGAAAAGAAATATTAAAGAAAAAGCAGCTGTATAAACAGATAAAATCTGTTTTCTTAGAAACTCAGAACAAACAGAAGCCGCCTTCCAGGAACAATGGGAAGACAGACTCACTGCCAATGAGACATTGTTAGCTCACTAAACCCATGGTGGCTGTCCTGCATGACCGTCCACTGCTCCTGTAGGTGTCCCCTGGGCCCTCAGTCGAGTTCCCTTTAGGATCTGATTTGGCAGTAAGGGAAAACAAACACATAGTCTGAGACCCATGCTGCTAGCCAACGCATGCTGGAGTCTTGAGTTTTCTGGTAGTGTCCAGGAAACAGTAATAGGCTAATTTATAAGCTTGAAAGTACGGGCAAATCAAGTTCCAAACATGAAAGAATTCCTGACTCAATGTCAAAAAACAATGCATATTTTACCTTCCCCTTAAAATAATACAAAAATTACTATAATGTTCTAAAAGTGGATTTTCCAACTAATTTTTCATAAAATATTCTTACTGTTGCTATCTAAAGTTTTATTTCCATGTTACTAATCCTTCCCAAATTGGCATAATGAATAAATACTTAACAGTTACTGTTTATAAATTTGGAGTATTTGATGAATCATTATAAGGGTAGAACAGTACTAGTACACAGTAAATGTATACTATATTCCTATTACGCTTTAACAGTGCTTTGCTTGTTTATTGGTTTTGTTTTCCACTTCTTAAATCCTTTATAATTCAATATTTTATTTTACTAAAACAAAGCTAAATGATCTTCCTTTGATGTTTTCTTAGTAACACCTATATTCATGAATATGCTTAAGGATTTTGATCAGACTACATGTATAATTTCAATCATGTTAGTCTACATATTTTCTATTGGTCTATAACTTTGAAGTAATGTAATTTTACTTTTAGTTGTAAGTATACTGTGGGAGCCCACAAAGGTTTTCTAGTGAGATCTGAGCTTACTTTATACAGCAGGGCTGCATTAGGCTTGATCACAGGCATGGTCACCAGGTGTCTGGGATGGTCTGCACTTGGCTGTGCTGTGGGGAGGTCTTTTGTTCCACCCCTTGGCATTCCTTTAAAAGCCCTTTAGTAGAGACAGAAGGGGCTGGTGGGTTTTGACCCAGGCCCTCCCGAGGCTATCCTTTGTTTCTAACCATCTCTATCCTCTATATTTCTATATAAATCTCTTATCCCTCACTCCTCAAGAGTCCTTGGGTAAATACATGTGGGAGCTGCCCCCTACAATATACTTTAGCTAATTTAAGTGAAGTTTTTTGAAAATAATTACCCCTAGTTTCTATCTAAATTTTTAGTCACTTTTGTCCTCTCAGAAACAGAATTCCACTGCTAATATAGCAGTCATTTCCTTTATAATTTCTACAGTTCAACCATAAGATTAATCTAGTATTATTTCTCAAATTCACAATGTAAGATAAGATATTCATACAAAATTTATATAAATGAAATGTAATGAAATGAATACTTAATATGTACACTGGTTAGTTTGCTTTACAGTTTTTTTTTTTTTAAGCTCAGTAATTATAGCTGTCTTCATGCTGTTTGAATCCTGTGTGCTCTTTTTAGCCCTTACTGAGTTTCACACTCAAAAGCTGTTTTTCTCCAAATCAGGTAGCACCTGCCACTGGTAATGGGGGTGATATGGTAGGTTTCCTGAAGCCAATCCAAAGACCAATAGAATTAGAGAAGGTAGACTTTCTGTTTTCCCAATAGAAGAGGTAGCAGACTGGACGCCAATGGTTGGAACCAAGGGGTAAGAGTCAGAGTTTAAGTTTTAGGACTAATTAGTTAGTTTTAAATATCAAACACTCTCCACACATTTACTTAATCACTGCTGTCGTCAGTACTTCAAAATGTATGGAGTATTCAGAGAAATATTTTCCCCCTCACCTTTCAACAGCCAGTTTCAGGACAGAAACTTTTCAGAGAAAACACTGATCAGGAAATGGAGAGGTTAAGATAGACCGAGAAATCTCTATCCCAAAGTTATTTGTTTACTTCTCATAAGTTTATTTTTACTAAATTCTCCACACAAGCCTTTTCAGGTTGAAGTTAAAAATCATCTGGTTATTTATAAACATTTAAAAACAGAAGGAAACATGCAGGAAGTATGAAATACTGCTTGGTAAATTTGTTCAGCCACACACACAGAGATACAGATGTGTGTGCATGCACACACACACACACACACACACACACACACACACACACACACGTACATTAAGAATTCTCAACTTTCTGTCCCTTGAGTCTCAACAAAAATCACAATTTTTCTATATATCATGGCAAAATAACTTACTAAATATTGTGTATGACATGGTTTAAATTTTTATATTACAAATATTATAACATTTGAAATGACAGTAATTTTAAACTATATTTACTCTCCCAAAATAACCACCACAAACTTCCTTAACCTAAGATAATCAAAATTAATATTATGCAGTATAACTTTTAACTGTTTCTTTGGATATATTCACATATACTTCATTTTACAAAAATAAGATAATACCATACCACCTTATAAAGTATTTTTCCTATTTTAGCAAAATATGCCTCACCAATATATCCCCTTACCAATAACTTTTCAATAGAACAAATCTCTGAAAACATAATTACTTGCAGGAAAACCATGCTTTCTCAATTTAATTATTAAATGAGATATTCAGAGTATTAAAAAGTTAAAAACTAAAATGAACCCTTTATATTGCTACTATTTAAATGCCCTTGACAAATGTTAACATGTTATTAGTTTTTTTTAACTTTTCTTTTATTTATATGCAATGTGGTGATGTTTTGATACATGTTTATCCTCTGGACTTTTAAAAGAAGAACAAATAAATGTCTGAAATGAAAATAATTAGGATGTGGCTAGGCCACATCCTAATTAACTCTTAAATGTTACCTTTGAATTTTACTTGCTGTGTACTACAGAGTAACTTAACAGAGTGCCAAAATCTGGCAAAGCTTCCAAAGTAGTATACTAAGCCAAATACCAAAATATTCAGGATGCAATGTCTAATTTCTCAAAATGTAGCCAAAAACATCATAAAGTCAAGGTGAAAGCCCTTTGGAGCACAAATGAATAAAACATGTTTGTCTAGTAAGTTGACCATGCCCCACACTCAAGGTATTTGGACAGCACACACCGGACTTGATGGGTTTAGAGGAGAAAGAAGAAGGAGAAGTGACCAGCAGTGCACACACAAAGTTGATAGGCAGAAAGAGAGAGAGAGAGAGAGAGAGAGAGAGAGAGAGAGAGAGAGAGAGAGAGAGAGAGAGAGAGACGGGAGATATGACCAAAATACACTGCATGAAATTTGTGAAGAATTCATAAAAACATTATTTTTAATCCACTCTTCACTGGGTTTTAAACAACAAATTGTTAATAGTAAGTATGCCAAGAAAAATGAAGCTCTATCTTCTTTTACATGAAGACATGGAAAGTAACAACACAAACACAAAGCTATAGTTAGTTTCAACAACTTGTGCAGACATTTTATGATCTAAGCAATTTAAGAATAGCATCTTTTATTCTGCCATTTCTGCTTGACTTTATCACTTTTCACCTCCTGTTCTGCTAATGCACGCGGGGTACTTACATCAGGAATGAAGCCAATCTCATTGAGATGATTACTTAGCTCTGGATCGTGGAACGCAATCATCTGAGAGAACACAGTCAGGTACTCTGAAAGGACAACAATGCTGAAGACCATGATTGTCTTCACCAACTACATCAAAGACTTCAATAAGTGAACCATAGCTTGTGCTGAGTGAGAATCCAACTGTGCCACGAAGCCAGGGTTCTTTAATATAGTATTTTCCATATATATATATATTTAAGTATTGAATACAGTGTATTCTGTTACTACTTCAATCACAATGCTAAGTATTAAACAGACAGACCAATAAACTCTATCACAGTTTACTTTCAGAGCTATCTGTTATTTCTTGAGTCACAAATTAAACACAGGATGACTGATGCTTTCCAACCAAACTGTACAAATACATTTGCTCTGGCAACAGTAAATTGGTTTCTCATTGACTGAATGTTCAGAAGGTGAAAAGACCCGGAAGTAAGGAACAGTGAAAGACAAGCAGTCACAGGAGAGTAACTGTGCCCCAAACTGGTTTCTATACAAATTTCAGCACTTTTTCTAGTTGTAAATTTTTTCCTACCTACAAATCTATGTTTGGCATATGTAGAAATATGAACTTAATTAACTACAATGAATGGAAAGTAGGTAAACAGTAGGTAACTGAAAATATTTTTTGTTGTGCCAGAGAGAGATCTTTGTGGATAAAAAGATGGTTCAGTGAGAGACCCTGTCGCAAGAGATAAGGTGGAGAGTGATATAGGAAGACATCTAACTTCACCTTCCAGTATATACATGCATGCACATGGGGTAGCATACCTGCATGCACATGTGCATACCATACTCCCCCACCCCCCACCCCCCACACACTGTAGAGGGTAAAAGGTCCTTGTGCACACAGATAAGCACTGGAAAAGTCAGGAAAAGTTAAACACTTAGGCTTATTTCTTCAAAGGAAGGAGATATTTACCTGTCTTCTTTCCTGAACACTGAGAAAATGTAGTTTACAACCTCATAATCCTTTGCTATCTGTAGGGCCAGGTGAACCTGAATCCCCCAGAATATTATGTTTGCTTAAGCCAGACTTTCCCCCTAAATCTTGAGCATTGCTTCTGAGTCTATAAAACCATCCTTATGAGAGATGGAACTTGTGTTTTACAACAGCCTAAGTAACTTCTGTGTTATCGCAGGCCAGGCCAATCCTGACTCCCACAGGCATTGTTTACCTCAGTCATTCTCCCTAGACTCCATCTTGAGCATTGTTTCTGAGTCAACAGAAACCATCTTTATGGAAGAAGCCATATGTATGTTGCAAAGAGTTCCAATGTAAACATGTCTTAAGCTTTGTTGTACACATGGAACTGAGTTAGCTGTCATCAGAAAACTTTTTTGCCAAATTTGTGCTATGTTTAAACATGGTTAAAATAAATGACCTAGTGTCAGACTTCTTAAGTTTGAACTAGTAGTAGCTAATTAAGTTGAGCTGAGTTTCATTCTTGTCTCTGTGGATCATTTCACTGCAGGCTGTTAAGCTTGCAGGGACACCCCACAACACACAATTATGTGTGCATGCACGCTCACCCACACACACAAACACATCACACGCATGCACATTTTATTTATTCTAATCCTACTACAAGTTGTCCAGTTCGACATGAAGACTACATTCACACTTTCCCCATTGTTCCAGCAGCTTACTATTTTATTCATGACATACTAATGGACCTAAATAAGATTGTGGTAACATGTGCTCCAAACCAGAATCTGCTGTGGGATGTCTTTCTGTATGCTGTGAATATGTTTTGCTCTCACTGGTTGATAAATAAAGCTGTTTGGCCAATGGCGAGGCAGAATAAGGTTGGGTGGTACATTAAAACTGAAGACAGGAGTGAAGAAGGGTGGAATCAGGAGACGCTGCCTCCAGGAGAAGCAAGAAGTAAGAGAACAGGTAATTCCACGAAGCCATGTGGCAAAATATAGATTAATAGGAATGGGTTGAGTTAAGATGTAAGAGCTAGCTAGCAAGAACCCTCAGCCATAGGCTATACAGTTTGTAATTAATATAAGCTTCTGAGTGATTATTTTATAAGTGGTTATGAGAGCTCAGATTGGAGAGATTCGTTCGGACCATGGGACTAGGTGGGACTGAGAAACTTCCCCCTACAAGTATCTTTCTTTTGCTTATTAAAAAATTAAAGTCTGTTATCTCAACACTTTGGTAGTAGAAGGAAGAAGATTGTGAAATCTAAGACATCCTGTATTACAAGGCAAAAGAAAGAAAATACAGCAAGACAAATGAGCTCAATTTCTTTTTGTGAAATTGAAATCACAATAATAACTCAATAAAAATGAAAAAATTGATAATCTCAATTTTTTCCAACAATATAACTGATTTTTAAAAATGAATTATTTGGTGAAATAACCTCTAAAACTGATATTTCCTTGCTTTATCAGTTTATACAAGCACTTGTGTTATTTCAAGAAATAATAGTAAGTAAAAGTAATCTATTATTTTTTTCAACTAAAACTGTTCTTAATACTTGTTTATAAATACTGTGCATCACTAGTGAAGCCCATGAACTGTGGACTGGTAGCTGTGGAGCCCACATGGGACTGGACTAGGCCCTCTGGATATGGAAGACAGTTGTTTGGCTCGAACTGTTTGGGGGGCACCCAGGCAGGGAGATCGGGATCTGTTCCTGCTCTATGGGTAGGCTTCTGGAATCCAGTGCCTGTGGTGTGATGCCTTGCACAGCCTTGGTGCAGTCGGAAGAGGCTTGGACTTGCCTAGGCTCAGTGTGTTGGGCTTTGCTGACTCTTCATGGGAGACCTCGATTTGGGGGATGTGGGGATGTGGGGTGACTTGGGAAAGAGGGTTGGGGGGCGGGAGGAGGGAGGAGGTCTGTGGATAGCATGTGGAGTGAGTAGAAAATTTCTTAATAATGAAAAATGAAAAAAAAAGAAAAAAATAAATACTATGCGTGCTTTTAATTGGCAACATCAAGTCAAACAAAGGAAAAGTCAATGCTGCATTCAGTTCAATGATATAACTGAATCACATCACTGACCTAATGTGAACATTGTCTACTCATTCTAGATAAAGAAGGAAATGCTCAATTAACACATTTCTTGATTTACTTTCCGTTCTAATACAACAGACTTCAATTTATCTTCAAGAGTCACAAATCAAATTGAAGATCTAGGACACATTTGAAGGCCTTAGAAAACTTTGACATTTACCTTTTTTATAACTGCTTTCCTGCCCTCCCTTATGGTATATCTATAATTTCAATTTACCCAGAAGCAAGAAGTATGCATCATCAGCCACCATAAGCACTCAATTGTATATTGATAAGCTATAGTTATTAACTTTCAACTTCTAAAAAGCATGTTTCAATTTAAAGCAGAAATTCATGCCTCAGGCAATTCTCCACAGCTATGCTTAGGTTTATTAAACATCATTCATACTTAAGCCTGATAAACTTAATTACTATGGGATTTATACAGCTAATTAAAGACTTACTGAAGAAACCTCACCCATGTTTTCCTTCTGTTCTGCCAAACACCAGTGATTGGATTTACACCAGCATGCACATACACACATACACAGATACATACAAATACACCATTTATGCATTATTGTATTGAATATAATTCACATAGGTAAATATAACTTATAAAGTTGGCAAAGTTTGGGCTTTGAACAAGTTTTCAAATGAAGCTCAGTGTGAGCTCTTTATTTCAATGGAAATATGAGAGAACATATGTGTAAACATATGTTTAAACATATATTACATGTTCTTTTCTAATAAATTTTAACAAAAATTTAACAAAAAGTAACAAAAACCCAATTGCATTTATCCTTTGATTTGATTTGATTTGAGAAGGAAATTAATGGTAGTTACAAAGATATGAAAAGTGGTTAGATTAAAACAGAAGATTCTACACATTTAACACTACTGATTCTTTGTGTATGGGTATTTTGTGTATGATTTAATGTATATGGATAACTTGTCTGCATGCATGTCTGTACAGCATGCTCATGCCTTGGTCCAAGGAGGCAAGAAGAGGGCACTGGGTCCTTTGGAGCTGGAATTAGACAGCTGTGATCTGTCATGTGGGAGTTGAACCCAGGTCTTCTGGAAGAACAGTGCTCTTAACTATTGAGCCATCTCTCCAACTCCTACTAACCCATTTTAAAGGTATCTTAAAACGCTAAAGCACTATAATTATGAGTTACAAAATGATAAAAATATGAATCATGGTTCTTAAAATAGTCTCAAAGATATTTTCTAAAGGCGAATATTACTTGGTTTTTAAAAATGAAGATATTTATAAATCATCCCTAAAACCTCAAGTGTAGTTTTTATACTATTACATAAAATTCCATATAAACTTCCTATATTTTAATAAGAAACCTTGTATTTTCAGTTTTGATTTTTTTTTTTTTGTTTTTTGTTTTTTGTTTTTCAAGACAGGGTTTCTCTGTGTAGCTTTGCGCCTTTCCTGGGACTCACTTGGTAGCCCAGGCTGGCCTTGAACTCATAGAGATCCGCCTGGCTCTGCCTCCCGAGTGCTGGGATTAAAGGCGTGCGCCACCACCGCCCAGCGTATTTTCAGTTTTGAAATGAGGTATACAAAGATAATGAACTGTGCTAATTTCTATGCATTAACATTTATTGTCCTCTTTTACTTATTACATACTCTGCAATTACAATCCCCAATGAAATTGATGTAAGAATCTCACTTGATAATATCATAATTTTTATGACTATTTATAAATAACCCATATTTGGTTTTTTTAAAGCTGCATGGAGTACATGAGAGATGAACTTTCCAAATCTCTACATAAGTATCTGCATTGGTTTCCTCTCTGATGAGCTTCTCACAATTGACTCTCTTAGCTAAAGGAAGCAGAGATGAAGGATATGGATGACAAATTCAAAGCAGATGATTGCGTCTGCTTACTATTCAGAAAGGCCACTCTTAATTTGCTAACCATTATCTTCTCTAAGACTGCTAATTTATCCTAAAGATGATGGCAACATCAGCAGGCAAAGAGATGCTGCCAGTGGTCATGGATGCTTCCAACTCCAGCATGCCAGAGACAGGAGGAAGAAAGCCTGCTTGAGCTACATACCAAGTTTCAGATTAGCCAGCCTACAAAGTCAAAAACCAAACCAAACAAGCAAAACAGATACAAGACATGCAGATCTCGGCACTCAAGAAGCAATGGAAGTGGAAGTCATTTCCACTAACAAGGTGGCAGTAAAGGCTTGACTTCCTTACTAAAAGCCAAAGAACAAGCACAAATCTTCATAACTAAATGGGAAGGGGCGACGGGGCACTTAAAAGTTGAGAAAGAGAAAATCAATTTCTTAAAAATGTGGTTGTGTTGGGAATTGAACCAGGGTCTCACACATGCTAAGCAAGCACTCTACCACTAAGCTATCTCCTCAGCCCAAGAAAACTAATTTTGATTTAGGGTTATATATGCGAAGCATTTTCTTCAGCGTAGCAAGCAAGCTTATCTAGTAGCCTTTCTAGTTAAAACAGAACATTTTCTGTGCTGGAAAAAAAAAAAGTTTAGCTACATGATACAAGACATTCTTGCCAGACTCAGCACTTCATATATTCCTTTCTTTCTCCATATATCCTACTATTAAAGCAAAATATCATGAATGTCCATTAAACTGGCTTTTCTAAATCACAACTGTGAAAGTGACTTTGACCCTCCCCAACACACCTAGCGTATGGGGAGAAAGGAGACTTACTTGCATACATCACATCTGACAGCTACATTTTTTTAAAATGTCTTTCTTCCTCCCTTCCTCTACGACAAGGACTTACTGAATGTGTGGTGGGATCGATCATACATCCTGGTTTGCACTGGTTTGGTACACAGCATCTGGTGTAGTTACTGCCATTTTTAGCTTTCAAAAATACCTAGATTTAGCCACCTACTAACCCAAAGCAATATGGGACCGGTATAAATGACAGGAACATCACTGTGAAAACGTTATTGTTCTTTCCCATAAAGTACTTAGAAAAATATACACCTAAACAGAAAACTGGGGAAAATTTATACCCTAGACTTAAATGGTATGTAACTTTTCCATTCTGACTTTTAGTAGCCTTATCTTTAAGGTGTGAATACACCTTGATCTTATAAAATAATTACAAAATGCTTAATGCTGTGCCAAATTTCAGGGCGAACATATGCCTATACTGTAAGCTATAAAAGACTCCTCCAAAATAGCATGTTTTTATTTTAATTGGTAGAGACAAAGAGCAAACTGCACATTCTTAAACTAACATGTCTGCATTGAACTGAGTTGGGAGCATATATTAAATAGTCATCAAGAAAGATAGTCATAGAAAAGAACTATAATTCTTTGTGAGTTTGTAGGAAAAAATTCCCCATATTCCTTCCTGGGTTTTGGTGATGAACCATCAACGTATGCTACTAGGTCAAAACAACTATTATCCTGAAGATTGGTTATTTTTGATAAAAATGTGCTCCTATATGAAGACAAGACTGGTTATTTTTGATAGAAATTTGTCCCATACAAAGACAGGAAAAGTCATTTGCTTACCTTGTATTACATGGGAGTTGTCTTTCAAGAAGAAGTTATACAGGTATTTGGGAATAAAAGCAGACATGCATGCATAAGCTAAGGCTAAGAAAGAATAAAGGAAATACAAAACCAGTTAATAGGGTGATGACCAGCTGTTTTTCACTGAGCACAAGTTTTTGAATCTACTATTAAACAACAAATATGGTAATAAGTACTGGAAACACAAAATTATAGGAAGAAAAGTTTCTGCTATTTAAAAACATTGAGACAGGCCGGGTGATGGTGGTGCCCACCTTTAATCCCAGCACTCGGGAGGCAGAGGCAGGTGGATCTCTGTGAGTTCAAGACCAGCCTGGTCTACACAGCGAGATCCAGGACAGGCACCAAAACTACACAGAGAAACCCTGTCTCGAAAAACCAAAAAAAAAAAAAAAAAAAAATTGAGACATTAATAGATAAACATTCCAGTAACTTCAATTTCTAACTGCTGTGGCAATCATTATCCCACAATAATAAAATCTTAATTGCCTGAACTTTATGTATTTTAATTTCTAAGCACTCATTACTAACGAGGTTCATGAACCTCACAATCCATAATTAAAACGGATATAGTCAAGATTCCTGGAGTTAGGAATACTAGTCATAACCTGTACTCTCAAATACAGATCTTTTATTACTCTTGGATTCGCATCTAATAATTGGATATACCTAAGCAATCATGGCAAAAGCTGAAGTTCAGACTAATGAGGGAGTATATCAGAGCAGTGCACTAAGAAATCATTCAGAGAGAGAAATGTGAGTTTTTGGAGATTATGCCATCTCTACTCAATTCCAGAATTTTCTGTTGTTTATGCTATGATAACATGAAAAATGGAGATTCTGAGGTGAGATACCTGTATATTAAAGTAATATAGAATAGCATACTTTATATGTGATGTAATCCTAAATTTGTTTCTATTGAATCTACCAAACACTATTTTAAAAAATCTATTATAAAAGTTCCTAAAACAGAGGGACTGAAAACAAAAAACCTGCCATTAACAAAATGATCATCAAAGGTACTAGTCTATGAGAACAGAGCTGGCAGCACTGGTTATGGGTACTAGTCTATGAGGACAGAGCTGGCAGCACTGGTTATGGGTACTAGTCTATGAGGACAGAGCTGACACAGGACCCTCTCCTGATCCAAATAGTGATGACTTAGCTCACAAAGGGAACTTAGAGGTCTTCATTAAACAAGTGCAATTGATATAATAACATGTGCAGGATACATAATAAGAGAGAAACTTCACTGATATTGATTGGTTTATAAATTATTTAGAAAATATATTTAACAGTAATTTCTAGAAAAGTAAAAGCCTTTTCCAAAAATCTATAAAAATGTGTTATCAAAGCAGGTAAATTAATTTAGAAGAATTAGCCCAATTCCCACCAAACTTTTGGGCATGGTCTGGTGACAAGGAATACCCTTCAATACTAAATTAATTTCACTCTCTAAGAAAAATTAACTTTATTTCACAATATTTTATGATACATAAAAGGTAAAATATAAGAATTTTAAGACAAGAACTTCTATTTTTGCGTCCGATATTTAAGAATAATATGCATAATGATCTCTCAATAATAAAAAAGCTTACCTTCATTGTTGAAATTTAGATATAGGAATGGAGCGCAAAGTGAGTCAAGACCTGATGCAGACAAGTTGAAGCAAAAGAGTAAAATGAATACATTCCAGAACTGTAGGTACCTTACTCTAGTCTCACACTCCTTCCAAATATATTAAGCACTGTAAGTACATCTACGCAGATGTGTGTTCTGTTAGGAGTTACAATGCAGAATAAATGATAGCATCTGACAGAACACCAGTGTCCAAAACAAGTTGGTTATTACTAATCATCCATATGATTATGAGGCAAAGAGCGACATGAATATGTGACACATAGTATGTTAGAGGGCTTTACATCACAATTCTGACTCAAACCTCATGTGAATTTGGTAATTATTTGGCCTCTTCAGGTATGCTCTCTCATCTAAGAGATGGATATTTGCCATATAGCTCTTTTCTTTAGGATTACAAAAAACTTTATAATTAGTGAAAAAAAATACAAACATTTATTTTATTGATAATAATGTCATTATTCATCTGTTATCATGCTGAAAGAATAAACGTAATATACCTATAATGGATTTGGAGGATACAGAATGTCTGAAATGTGCTGGGCAAAAAAAATAACCATACCTTTAAGAGTGGCAAATAAGCAATATGAAACTCAAAGTCCAAAACCATTGTTAATAACAAAACATTCAAAAACTGGGTTGGATTGAACTGGTTTCTCATTTAAGAATTAATGATCATAAAGATAATAATGGCAAATGCTAAACATCCAGGGTTAGAGACATTAAGGATACTGGGGAGAAAAAGGAAACAAAATGAACAATTTTGAGGTCATATTCCATTCCTAATAATTACAATAATTATATATTAGGAGTACTTAAATAGTAACATTCTCAAATAGCCTAATGTTTTTATGGTATAAGTTATTTCACTATTTTGATAAGATTAAAATTGTTTCCATAAGATTAGACTCTGCTTTCCTAATGTCACTGCAAGCTGCTTATTTTTAAATATCATGTAAAGTGTTATCTTGAAAGCATTTAGACCAAATTTGTTTGATCATTTCTATAAAGTTAATACCTTCAAAATGCACTGGAATTTTAGTGCTTTTCCCCCTCAAAATGAAAGACAAAAGACTTGAAGAAAAGTCCTAAAAACTAAAAAGTTACCTTGCCAGTACACAAGATCAGGATGAGAAACTACCCAAGCTTTCAGTACACGCCGGAACTTTGCGTGACCTTCTGGGGATGATAACAGTTCGTCATACTGATGACATCGAGGAATATCCACTTCAATCTGCAACCAGCAAAGCAATAAGGCCCAACTGTTATAGATGATCCCTAAGATTCTAGTCTGTGCTTTTTCAATACATAAGAGAAGAGATATGCTAGATAATATTTCGCCTTTATAATCTATTGATAAAAGTTTTTGAATTTTTCAATTAATCTTTGAAAACATCACAGAGTTTCTGAGTGTAAGTAACTCCTTTTCTTTTTTTTTCTTTTTTTTCTTTTTTTTTTGGTTTTTCGAGACAGGGTTTCTCTGGGTAGCTTTGAGCCTTTCCTGGAACTCACTTGGTAGCCCAGGCTGGCCTCGAACTCACAGAGATCCGCCTGGCTCTGCCTCCCGAGTGCTGGGATTAAAGGCGTGCACCACCACTGCCCGGCGAAGTAACTCCTTTTCTAACACCACATACATTGGCAGTGGCAGAATTTTCATAATGAAAGGAAGAGGATTTTCTTACTCCTTTTAACTTTTAAAGAATTGGCAGAATTGCCTTAGAAAAACCTTACTTGTCTATCTGTGGGTATTGGAGTGTCTTTATCAATTGCATCATACTTGGCATGAATAGCTCCCTGAAAAAAATAGAATAAGACATTAATTTATTATATCCTTAATAAAATGACATTATACATTAATAGGCTGGAATCTTAAGTATTTCAACTTTATAGTTTTTCTAATTTTGGAATATCTGCATAAAATTTACTGATACAGTATCTCTAATCTAAAAAACACAAAATTCATTAGTTTTTCAGCAAGATATCAATATTCAAAGCTTTTAAATTTCAAAATTTTGGACTAGTGATGCTTAGCTAACAGGAGAAACCTGTTTTATATAAATACTTATTTTTGAAGACCTACCCAACAATGGTAAACTCAAGTTAGCCAATTTAGAAACTTTCTACATCTTTGACCATGTATGATGAAAGTCTATTGTAAGTGACATTTGCCATTTGGTGAGACAGACCTTTATCTGGTGTGTTGGTGCACACCTTTAATCCCAATACTCAAGAGGTAGAAGCAGGTAGATGCCATGGCAACAGAGTGAGACCTTACCTCAAAAAAGAAACAAAAACGACAACCAGAAGAGGCCTTTTGAATTACATATACCCAAAGGTAAATGACGTAAGTCACTTAGCTAGAGAGCATAGAAAAACGTTGTTTTCTGTGTTACTAATTCATAAATCGGAATGTTCAAAAAGAAGATAATATTTTAGAGAGAGGTTTACCTTAACAGAAATTTTCTGTTAGCGTTGGTAAGGCAAATGAAACAATTTTTTTTCAGAAGAATGATAATATCAGGAACATTTAGGGTAGTTTAATTATAGAAACATTAGGCTCATTAACATTACTTAGTTATAGCCTTACACAAAGAATATCCAAATATACTAAATTTCCCTCATGTTCTATAGGGTTACACATGAAAAAGTGCTTATTTTTATGATTTGCTATAGTGGTAGGGAAAGCCAAGAATTTAGTAAAATTATTTGCTGAATCAATTTCTTTCGGCTATCTATTAATAACAGGCTTGGAAAATCTGACATCATAAGTCTTTCTGGATTATAGTACTAATTATTAATATGAGTTAAGGAACAATAGGCAGTGTTGTGAAGTAACCAAACAAATTCAAAGAAATATAGATGCTCATTAAGAAAATCAAGAATAAAGAAAAAAATTCTGCTGATAGAGGTCTGTAAAGATTAAAAAGAGTTGAGGCTACACTACAGGGCAGGCTCCACACCCAGGAGCAGGAGGCCAGCATAAAATGGGCTCCATGGCTTTTTGGGGCACTTGTTTTGTTATTATTATTACTTTTTTGTTTTACTGATTTTTGTTTTGATCATTTGATAAGTCTGGTTTGATTTTTTTTTTTTTTTTGTTTGAGACAGACAGAGAGCACACTCTCAAGAATGAACAGAAAGTCGGGTAGATAGGGAGGTGATGAGGACCTGAGGGAAGTTGGAGTAGGAGAAAGAATATGATAAAAATACATGATAGGAAACAAATTTAAATACAAATTTTAAGAATTAAAAATGTTTGAAGGAACTAAAGTGGTGGCAAGTATCTAAGAGAGAATACAGGAGGACAGAATGAGAAAGAAATTGATAGGAAACGGAAGAAAGTGTCAAGGATCCCTTATCTTCACGGTGTGTCATCAGACTTTCTGGTAACACTGCAAGCTTCATGAGTAGCCCTGTGACAATGCCCTCTGCACCTCAAAGCAGCCTGGCCAAAGTGGAACAGCCATGTTAAAAACCACTAAATTACATTCATGATTTTGACAAGACACAATTGGAATAAAGGATTTATCAATTTCAAACAATACATAAATTGAAGTTATATTTAAAAAGGGGCATAGTTCAAAAGCAGGATGACATACATAACTGACACATATTCATTAGATAACCTGTTTAAAGTAATAATGATATTTACCATGGGCATAATAAATAAAATATTAAAGGACATCAATAATTGTATTTTATACTCTATTCTCTTCATGTATTTTTCTACTTAAAACATATTCTGATGTTCTTATTTCAATATATAATTTTCTATTAATACTGTAAAATTAGATGGAAAGTATTATAGTTTTTCTAAGACAGGATTTCTCCATGCATTCCATGCTGGTCTCGAACTCATAATCTGCTGTCACAGCTTCCAAGCATTTGGGAGGTAGCGAAATGTATAGTATTATACATTTTATGTTCTTATACACTACTTATCTATTTATAACTTTTTGCTTTCTTACCTCCACTCCCAGAAGAGCAGCCCAGGTTAAACCCCTCATAAGTGGAGGGATGTCAACTCTTGCTTCTTTCCAGATTTGATTTTTTTTATATGGATAAGCCTAGGATAAAATAAAAATAGTCAAAAAGGGCCTGGGTGGTAGCTGAGCTGGTCATCCATCACCCTCTTCTGTGATGAGGGGTGGGGCCATCTCTCTGAGTGCAGGGGCCAGCTCCCCTGTGAAGGTCAAGGCCAACTCTCTTGCTGTTGTGTTCAGCAAGAGGCAAGGCTAGCTTTCCCAGGATCAGTAAAGGGCAGGGTCGGCTCCGTATGGCCCTCTGATTTCATCTCACATGGTTCCTAAGGTCCCCTGAGGTGATATGGGCCTTGGGTTGGCCCACCCTAACATCTACCCCATCTAGGACCTACTGAAGCTTGTGAAGGGACTGGTCCTGTGCAATGCCCATGGGTTTTCCACAACTTGGGTGGCCACATGATATCCCAGAGGAGTTCTGGTGAGGATCAAGTGATGATGGAGTACCAGAAAGCAGAGGCCACGAACCAGACCAGTGACTCACTTCAATGAACATATGCTAGTAAAGCTGATAGGACAAAAGGATCTACTAGGTGATACACCGAGGGCCCAATGCCACCAGGGTGAATGAAGAGGTGTTGGAGAGGTGGGAAAGAAGGAGAAGCAGAGAGGTTTTGTGGTCGGCTTTTCTGGTTGCTGTTGTTTTTGTTTGTTTGCTTGCTTGCTTACATTGTTTTGTTTTCTTTTGTGGTGGGGGCACTTCAGTGATGAGGGGAGGATATACGGGGATCGGGAGGTAAGCAGAATTGGGGTGCATGATGTTAAACTCCCAAAGAATCAATAAAGAAGTTAAATGAAAAAAGTCAAAAAGTAAAAGCATGTCATGCACATTTATCAACCACAATACAATAAAACTAGAAATCAATCACCAGAAAAAGTTTAAATAACACTGACACACAGGAATTCAACAGTATATTTCTGAATTATCAATGGATCCAGTGGCAACATTATGAAGGAAATTAAAACATTTCTTAAAACAAATAGTAATAGGAAGAACATATCAAAAAGCCTATGGTATACAGAAAAATCAGCTCTCTGAGGAAGTTCACAGAAGTCAGTAACCATACCAAACAAGCAGAAATATTTCACATCAACAATCTATGTAAAGGAACTGGGAGAAAGAACACACAAAACCCAAAGTTAGAAGAAAAATTACATAATAAACATTACAACAAAATAAATAAGATAGAGTCTATGAAAACAGTAAAAAAAGAAATGAAGTGGAATATTTGAAAACAAACAAAACTAACAAACCCTTAGCTATACTTAGTTATATAGTATATTTTTTCCTTAATTGCATTTATATTTTATACTCTATTTCTTTCTATCAATATTGGTACTTTTTCCTATAGACTTTTGTGCTTTATGTAAAAATAATATTAATTCTTTGTCTAAGATGATCTTTCACATCTTGTCATCTTTGGAACTTCTATCAGTTCTATAAATTAGAAAAGTTAATTAGAAAAGAGATCATAAGAATTCTTTCCTCATAATTTCAATATGTAAGAATTAACAGCATTAAAGGAAAACTCATATAGACTACCATTAACACTTGGTACACTAGAATTCCTACCTTCAGCAGCCTGTCGAAGAGGATAATTCTGTTTAGCTGATATTCTGTATCCCTCTCTCTAATGATTAAAGGCAGGGTGGCAGCTGCAGATAACTCATTATTGCTGTTTGAATGAGGTAAATTCGGCTGGCTGTAAAGGAACAAAAAAGTAAAAATACTGACAAAGACAATATTCTAATAAATTAAAGCACTACCTCCTAAATGTTCTATTTAAAAATCTATAAACTTCTTATTAATTTAATAGAAATAGGAAAAAAAGTCAAATAAAACAACATATACTCACTCATCTTCAAGTAATGGATAAAATGCTTCTCCTCCAACATCTTTTAATCTCTGTGAATTTAAAAATAAAATATTTATAAATCATTATATTGGGTGGCAAGAGTAATATCTGCTTAAAAAGAATAGTAATGTAAAAGTTTTGAGTTCACAAAGAAGTAAAAAATAGAATCAAAAGATGAGTTTCTTTCATGAACATGCAAATGCACCACACTTCTGACAAGGATTAAGCACAAGCAAGATCTTCCCTTTTCCCCTCTAGGTGGTATTTCTACCATTTCCTCACATGCAACACCAAATTACATTATTATAAAATGTAAATATATAAAATATTTAAAAAGATTATTAAAAAGAGATACTTTTTATATATTCATTTATTAAAGATTATTAAAAAAGAGGTGCTTTTCCATATATTCATTAAAGATATTTGCATGAATTATAGGCAGTGCAGTCACGATATCTGGAATATATTGTTTAAAGTTCTTATATGGGAACTCATTCAGAAACACTGATGAAATATATGAAGTTGTAATGCACAGAACAGATATGTAAGTAGCTGAAACTTACATGCACTATAATCAGGCAACTGTGATTAGTATTACACATTTTAAAACATCAGGATCTGATCAATTAGAATTATTTAAAACTTAATATCATGTATTACCAAGTGGAGAAATAGGAAGACTTATGTGATGCTGATGGAAAGATCAACACTGTTGTGAGCAATCAGTGTGTGTGGAGGCTGAAGTTACACAGATGTCATTTTCTCACAGTTCTACTCACTACAGAAGCTCTCTTGCGTATCAGGAAATCAAGCGTGAATGCAAAGTATCTTGTGTTATCTTTAAAGTTTTAATATTTTAAAGATTTTTGAAGCACATTTGGTAAATTTTCATTCTTACGTTTCTTAGCTGGCATAAGGACAATGTCACAGTGGTATCATCTAAGAGTGAGCTTCTATCTCGACCTTGCCCAAAACTTTCACCATCTTCAAAGAGAAAACTAAGATTTAAAAAAGAAAGAAAAGAAAAAAGTTGTTTCAATGATCACAAAAAATCTACTTTATTTATTTTAGAAATAAAATTCTCCTATCACAATCCCATCATTAAAGAAATAAAATTCAGACTAGACAGTTAATTTTGAAAACAAAGCCCAGCATGGTGCACATGCCTGGATCCCAGTGCTTGGAAGGTATAGGCAGGAACATCAGGAGTTTGGGGACATACAGGTATACAGTGAGTTTGATTCTAGCATGGGCTACATGAGACCTTGGTCTTAAAAAACAAAGTTTTCAAAAACTAACTGCTATCGAAGTTTCTCCAAACAAGGCGGACTTTATATATATGTATATCTGTTGATCAGTTATAAATCTGGTATATGCTGTCCTGGTTAGTTTTAACTGTCACTTTGACACAGTGTAGAGTCAATTAAAGCAAAGCCCCCGCTGAGGAATTTCCTAGATCAGATTGGCATGTGGGTATGTCTGTGGGAGACTTTCTTGGTTGTTAATTAATGCAGGATTGCCTAGCCCAGTATGGGAGCCCTAAACTGTGCAAGAAAGCTAGCCGAATATGAGCTAGACTTCGAGCCAGCTGGCAAGTAGCATCTTACATGCTTGCCTCTATGCTTCTTGGATGTCGAGTGAGTTTCCTATCAGAGGTAATGCTGTACCTTCCCTGAGTTCCTGCCTTGACTTCCTCAGTGCTGCATTGTGACGGCACACTGGAGTGTCCTTTCCTGCCCTAAGCTGCTCTTGGTCAGGGTAAGTCCCAGGAGCAGAGATAAAACTAGAACACGCACACTGCACTGCAGGCTACAAAGGTGTGCTTTGCAATCTCTCTTCTTGCACATGCAGGAGTGAGTGACTGTCTTAGCAGTATTCGAATGTGCTTTGGAGGAAGTCTGCACAGCTGAAAACAAACAGGGAGGAAGGAGAAGCACACGGGTTGACAAGCTCTCAGAGCAAGAACAACCAACGCCTGCAACTTGTTTAGAATGTCAAAAGCCTACTTTTCAGAATCTATCAATTAATTTTTAATTTTCTTGTTGTTTTTTTTTTTTTTTTTTTTTTTTTTCGAGACAGGGTTTCTCTGTGGTGTTTTGGTGCCTGTCCTGGAGCTCGCTTTGTAGACCAGGCTGGCCTCGAACTCACAGAGATCCGCCTGGCTCTGTCTCCTGAGTGCTGGGACTAAAGGCGTGCGCCACCACCGCCCGGCTTAATTTTTAATTTTCTATAATTTATTTCTGATTTCATATTTAACTCAGTGGGTGAGTGGCACAATTTAAATTAATGTCTAAAAAACTGCTTATAAAGGACAGAAAGAGCTAATAATGCAGTTTAGTAACAGAATACTTGCCTCGCCCCACATGTAAGGTTCTGGGTTTGAAAACCAGTACAAAAATAAAAAGGAAGAAAGAAAAATTTAAAACTGGGAGAGGAGAAAACTAATGGTCTATCTAAACAAATAATCTAAAAGTTTAACAAAAATAGTGATTATCAGATCATTTCTACTGTTATCTCTTATGGTGGTTTGAATTAGAAACGTTCCTCATAGGCTCATGGATTTGAACACTTGGTCCTCAGTGGAACTGTTTGGGAAGGTTAGGGCACTCTTAGGAGGTGCAGCCTTGTTGAAGGAAGTGCATCACTGAGGGCTTTGGACTTTTATAGCCTTGTGCCACTTCCTGTTTTTTTTTTCCCTTCTCTCTCTCTCTCTGTTTCCCGTGTGCAAATGAGAATGATCTCTCTGTTTCCTACTATCATGGCTTCCAGCCATTAGAGACTCTCCGTCTGGAACTGTAAGGCCATTTTTCTACAGATTGACTTTTGATCACAGTATTTTATCACAGCAATAGAAAAGTAACTAATACACCTATAGTCAAACCTGTCCTAGATTATGAAATTGAAAATTTAAAGGTCAAGAAATACACATTCATGTTTCTATATGAACAATGATGTTGTCAAGGTTTGGAAAATAACAGATATATACACATTTTATTAGTATTACATGATTTTCAAATTATTTCTTAAAAAACAATTTTTATAAGAAATAAATATTGATGGAAACTCTGCAATTACAAATTCTAGCCCATTCAACAAGGTGTAGAGTTTTAACTGCTTCCAAGTTCACTTAATTAGAACATCTACCAAAATTAATTAAAAAAATAAAATTAAATAAAAATTAAAAATCAACAAAAAATTTAAATCATTATTACCAGAAACTTTCTTTACTTACTTCGGGAGTGTGCAGATAGGTGGTTTGGATCGAATAATTTCCTTGTTTGTAAGCTCCTTCTCCAGGTCACCTCCAGCCAGACACCACAGATAGTAAACCTCCTCAATAGATCTCTCTGCCAGGTGATCACTGTCTGTATCTACTAATGGTAAAATGTTTAAACTGTAGTAACAGTCGGTAGCAATAATAGCTGGCATTCTGATCAAAGTAACTGAAGAAAAGGCTACCACTTCTGTATGTAAGGACTTCGCAAGTTGCTACTCCACCTACCAATGTAACAGAAGACACTGAAAAGCAGGAGTTCTTCTAAGAACCATGAGAAAGTAATGGTATGGAGGCAAACTACTACCCACAAGATTGGAGAAGAAGATGGGGATGCATGGAGATCTGAGCTTGCTTTACACAGCAGGGCTGCATTAGGGGATGGCTAGATCACAGTCATGGTCACCAGGTGTCTGGGATAGTCTGCACTTGGCTGTGCTGGGGGCAGGTCTTTTGCTTCACCCCCTGGTATTCCTTTAAAAGCCCTTCAGTAGAGACAGAAGGGGCTAGTGGGGCTAGTGGGTTTTGACCCAGGCCCTCCTGAGGCTATGCTAAATTCCCAACAGTCTCTCTCTCCTCTATATTTCTATCTACATATTCCTCATTTCTCCTTGCTCAAGAGTACCCTGTGGGAAAAAGAGGGAGCTGGTCTCTCTCAGAAATACAGCAGAGGACTCCTTCTTCCTTTCATAGCTTGTCCTCAGAAGTCAGTCAGTGGCTAACTGACCTGGGAGGAGGGGATACCTTCTATGACACGGTGTGGCAAAGAGGAAGGAAAGCATCCTGTGGTCCTACGAGCAGGCCGCATAGTTTAGTGAGCAGTGCCTCTGGACAGTGCTGGTCACAGTCTTCCTGCCACAGTGAAACTGGAAGGCCAGGCTACGCCGGAGTCGGGTATTGCTTCAGCTCTCAGCAGGTGTGGCATGACTAACAGATTTTGACTTTTCTTTTTAACAGGTTGAATTCCTCCTAAAGGTGACTTATGCATAAAGACAGCCAAGGGGCCTGAGCTTGACAACATTCTGGATTTATTTCCTATACTCAGAATAGAAGGAGAAATGCTACTACAGTACTTTCTTGTCAAGAAAGTGGAGAAACTCACATGCCAAACAGGCACCCATTGTGAACTTACTAGTCAAGTTTACTTACAGTCCTGCTTCTTATATCAAGAGAAGGCAGAAAAGGGAAAATTTGGAAGTTTACTTCCCAAGTTAGAGGTACAGAACAGGAATTTTTATACTCTACAGCAAGAAAGGAATATGGGCAGGAAAAACCCACATATCAACGAAATGTTCCTTTTCACGTTTCAAGGCAGAATACAATGGTATGGACTTCCTACTGATAATATAATTTTAAAACCACTTAAAATAAATTATATGGAGTATTAGTAATTTACAGTCTAAAATTTGACTTATATTTTAAATATTCCAGAATATGTTGTGGAATATTAGTTTAAGATGTATTACATTTGTTTATGCTGTGGGATATTTGTTTAGTGATGCAAAAGATGTGTTACATTCCTTTATGTTTCATTTGTTTAACCCTGTAAAGCTGTGTTACTTTGCCTGTGTAAACACCTGACTGGTCTAATAAAGAACTGACCAATAGCAAGGCAGGAGAAAGAATAGGTGGGGCTGCCAGGCAGAGAGGATAAATAGGAGAAAAAGAGAAGAGGAGGGAGAAAAGAGAAGAGGGGAAGACTCCAGGGGACAGCCACCTAGCAACACAGCCAGCCATGGAGTAAGAAGGAAAGACATATAGAATAAAGAAAGGTAAAAGCCCAGAAGCAAAAGGTAGATGGGATAACTTAAGTTAAGAAAAGCTGGCTAGAAACAAGCCAAGCTAAGGTCAGACACTCATAAGTAAGACTAAGTTCTGTGTGATTATTTGGGAGCTGGGTGGTGGGCCCACAAAGAACAAAGAGTAAAAAAAACAAAAAAACTACAGGAATCACATCTCAATTCCCTGGTTATTATCCATAAAACCCCACTAAAAATGTAATGCCTGTTACTAACGAATTCAAAAGTAAACAGGTTATGGGGCTTCTTTTGGAAAGAAGGCTCATATTATCACGTTTTACTCATCTTTACCTTTACACAAGTCATCGATATCCTCAGGCAGAGTTAAATTAGCACATCGCAGAGAAGATGAGAACAGACTGGCAGGTTTGATAAAGGGTGTGTATAAAGGAGACACTTCACTGAACACCTGGTCCTTCATTAATTCATCTGCAGTTGGCCTTGAGAAGAACAATTGAAAATTCTCAGCATGGAGAAAAGTCATAAAAATTTTCCTCAAAACCTAATACACATTCAAGCTGGGAGTTAAAAGTCTTAGATAACTCCTTAGCACTGACAGTAGTAGCAAAGGAGCTCCCTTGAGCAGAGTCTAGCTGTTGCGACTAAATAACTCAATGCTGAATTACTTACATGTGTTATACTGTTTGTGCCTTATGTTCTAACAAAAAATCATTTCATAAACACCCCAAATTTTGCTTGCAAATACTATCCTTTGCCCCTGATAAAGTGCCTTTTCTTTTATTTTTTTTAATTTAATTTTTTTGTTTTTGTTTTTGTTTTTTGTTTTTTGAGACAGGGTTTCTGTGTAGTTTTGGTGCCTGTTCTGGATCTCGCTCTGTAGACCAGGCTGGCCTCAAACTCACAGAGATCCACCTGGCTCTGCCTCCTGAGTGCTAGAATTAAAGGCATGCCCCTCTGCCACCTGGCCTAAAGTGCCTTTTATAATGACGAATTAGAATATATTCTCCTCTAGCATTATACTTAGGAGGCTTAGTAATAGCTAGGTAATTAGAAGAAATACTATGAAATGAAAACAAAATATCAAGGAAATCCTTCTCAATTTTTATCAGCAACTCCAAACTTAACCTTCTGCCAAGCTCAGTATATAATACATAATGGCAACAAACTTTTGTTATTGCTCAAATGTCAACAGAGCTAAGAGTACTGACATTCCTATTTAGTTGGTCTTCTTGAGGCAAGGAAATGAATTAGAAACTTTTTTGGTATATGCCAGTTTTCTGACCATGATTTGATTTTTTTTTGTAACAAAAAATTAACTTTGAATCACATTTATAATACTAGTAACAATAATGACCTGTTACATATGCAGCTATCATCTCACTCCATCAGTCTCCTACCAAACACAACAATGCAGCTACCACCTCTCAGTCCATCAGTCTTCTACCAAACACAACAATGCAGCTACCACCTCTCAGTCCATCAGTCTCCTACCAAACACAACAATGCAGCTACCACCTCTCAGTCCATCAGTCTCCTACCAAACACAACACATGCAGCTATCATCTCAGTCCACCAGTCTCCTACCAAACACAACAATGCAGCTATCATCTCAGTCCACCAGTCTCCTACCAAACACAACAATGCAGCTACCACCTCAGTCCACCAGTCTCCTACCAAACACAACAATGCAGCTATCATCTCAGTTCATCAGTCTCCTACCAAACACAACAATGCAGCCATCACCTTAGTCCACCAGTCTCCTACCAAACACAACAATGCAGCCATCACCTAAGTCCATCAGTCTCCTACCAAACACTAAATCAACTCTACACAAAAAGGATCTGGGGATAAGCCAAAGTCTTAAGGAATCACCTCTTAGAAGGATGGAAGGTGAGGCACTTCTTCAAAATGTTTATCACATTTTCAGGAAGCTCCTGGTAAATAAAGATTAAAAAAAATAGATGAATGATCAATTCTAGAAACATATTTTACCAAAATATTTAAATCTCCTAGGCTTCAATTTTAAAAAAATCTTTATTTGGACTTTATTTAAATTTGTAGTAATTTGTCACTCTCTGGAAAAATGGCCAGCATCTACAGAGAAGTAAGTACAGCTTTAATAGCTTGTTATTGTATTCTGATGTGAAAACAAACTTTCATAAACAGATTGCTCTACTTTGACTGTGCCCCTTCCTAAATTCAGGTCTTGAAACTTAAGGCCAAGTAGATGACAATAAGAGATGGGCTGCTAGAGTGAACCTGCTACTATTATTCTGCTAAATGGACATAGTACCTTACTGCCCCTCTAAATTCTCCTCTCTCTACTCATAGATTAGTGCAGTTCTCAGACTGCATCAGAGAAGTTTCTTTGTGCAGCAAATGGTGGTTTAGGCAGAATTTCACAACTGGTTAAAGCACAGAGAGTAAGCCATATGTCATAACCCCTCCTCAAGGCTCCATGACCATCATGGAAGAGTGGGTGGAAAGATTTACAACACCAGAGGTTGAGGAGCTAATGGCAGTCAATGGCTCCTAGTGAAGGAATGGTCAGTTGTTTCTAAGGGTTTGGCTCCTGGTTGATAGACCATGCTCTGGTGGACACCCTCACACCCTGGAGTATATGGGTCATACAACTGGAGTTGATGGGTTATGAGGGCGAGGCATGAATTTGGAGGGATAAGGAGATAGGGGTTGATCTGAGAGGAAATAGGGAAAGGAACTGGCGGTGAATAGGATCAAAACCTTATAAGAAATTCTCAAGAATTTATAAAAATAAAAACAAAACAAAAAACAATAAAAGAGGTAGGCCTGTAAAGGATGATTAGGTCACAGGTGCCCTCATCTTGGGAATGGGATTTTATCAAACACACTTTATGCATCCACCACATGCTCCGCCATCTTTCTTTTCTACTCTGTGAGGAGAGTGTCCTCCCCTCATCAGAAAACCGAGCCTGTGGAACCTTTACATTGACATTTCCAGCTTCAAAAACTATGACATGATAAGTTTTGTTCTTTAAAAATGACCCAGTCTCAGACAGTCTGTTAGAACAGCACAGATGGATACACAACGAACCTTAATAATGTCCAGACAACCATGTTCCTCAGCCAGAACTATTATAGTGTCATCTACACAGCCTAAGAGAAAAGGAAAGCCAGATGAGTATGCACTGCTTTTAACCTACCACAATAACCCGGAAAAAAAAAAAAAACTATGATAAAACATTTCCAAATATCATAATGTAGTTTTGGTGCTTAAGCTACTAAATATTTTTTTTAAAATTAGCTTTCCTTACATGTTTTTATAAAAACACAGAGGTTTACCCAGTCAACTTAGTTAAGTACTAGTACTAAAATATAGCAACTTAAATAGTTATGGAAGAAATTTCAAGCAATTTTTAAAGGCGCTGTTGTTTGTTGGAAAATATTTGTACATTGTGTGAAGATGTGTTGTTGTGATTGTTGTAATAAAAAGCTGAATGGCCAATAGCTAGGCAGGAGAGGCTAGCTGGGACTTGCTGATAGGGAGAGAGAAACTGGGAGGAGGAACAGAGGTGCACAATTTTGCCAGCAGACTCAGAAGAAGTCAGATGTGTCATACTAACAAGAGGTAACCGAGTAGACTAATAGAAACTGGTTAATTTGAGTGATAAGAGCTAGCCGAGGACAAGCCTAAGCTAAGGCCAAGCTTTCATAATTAATAAGTCATCTCTGGGTCATTATTTGCAGGCTAGTGGTCCAAAGATAGTCTGATAAGAAAGTGTGCTACAGTTGTTTTCTTATGATTACAAGATAATTTATTTTTATTACATGAAGTTTGAAGAATGCACCCACATCTCTCTGGAGATATGAAGTATAAATTAAATTAACAATGCTCCAAATTCCTTGACAGCTGAGGTATCTATTCTTTGTAAAGAAGTCATGAATCAGATAAAACTGTATGCAATTTAGCTAAAATTCATAAATACTTAACTCTTTCCACAAGTTTTATTATTTGTAAACTCTATTGCTAGAATGTTGATGGGTCATTGCTTTATATGAAATAGTCAGTTTTTCTCTCTTCTTACCACACATTTAACTTATTCCATTCCTAATTAGATTACACATTTGTTACTATAAATCTCAAACATACATACATAAGCCAATTATAAAGAAAAATGAATATTCTTCCAAAATTGTTCTTCATATACAACTAGTCACGTAGAAAGGTAGCTCAAAATGTAGTTATGGTGTTGGGAGTACAGTTTTAATTTATTAGTTTGATTATACAAGATAGTTTACTTGGCTAAATCATGGAACTAAGATTTCTTTCTATGCAGGTTCAAGTTCCTTCATGAGCAAAGAAAACTTGTACACGTTTTAAAAGACACTTTTCATGATGCCTTGTGATGCTTACCCCTCAACCTGAAGACAGACATTTCACTGTTCTAGGAGAGGACTTCAACGATGACAGCTGTTTCTATAGATTGTGGTCATGGTTCAAAGATAATCAAATGCATGAAACTTACCCAAAGTAAGCACAAATTTTAGTCTTTCAGAAATATCCAAGCTCTGAAACAATTTTCTTCCCTAAATAATGGAAAATAAGTTCTTAGTAATATTTAGAATTTTCTTTCCCCAGGCATCTTTTTGTAGTATAACTGAAGGTGATTTTATTGTCACTTCCATCTATCACCAAATTTTATTGATTATTTAAATTCAGCTTGACCACAAAAAGCTACTGTTAAAATAATATTTTTAAAAGAGTGTAATGTTTATTATGTAAGTCACCTATATCTAATGACCATTAGATCCAAATGGTATCCCAAGCACTGATCACTTTTGAGAACTACACATTATTGATGGTTAGTTTTTCCAGATCACCAAAACAAACAGTATTGTTTTAGTAAAAAACAGACATGGTCCTGGAAGTCTACTCCCAGAATCCTTATTTAAGTATCATGTTTAAGTAATCTATTGTTCATACTGATAACCACCCACAGTAGTTCCTCTTCCACTCAAGCAACTTCAGATTGGCATTCTGTGTGTTCCGATAGTACCTAAGTTTTTATGTTGTCTTTGTTGCTTTTGGAGCTGGGGACTGAGCCTCCAGTATGCCAGATCAGGACAGTTGCTAGAACAGCATGGTATCACTGTTGTATCCCTAGCCCCTTTATACCCATATTTTAAGACAGTTTTTTCAGTCTGGCCTTAAACTTTGTTCTTCCTAGCTCAGCCTCCAAAATAACTGCTATTACAGGTGGTTTGAAGATACACCATTAGAGTAGACCACACCAGCCAGAACTGGTGAGTGACCAGCCTGCCATCCAAACTGCACCCCTCCCTGGATTCTGTGCTCCCCTCACACTTCCCCAGGCTCATGCCTTCCCAGCTACTCCTTACCCCGCTGCTGGGCTACCTCATCATCCTCCCCATGGCCAGCCCTTCCCCAGAACTCTGGCAGACTCCCCAGGCTCAGACATAGTCCACACCAGCTGGAAGAACAGATGCCATAGGCCCAGGTACAGTCCACACCAGATGGAAGAACAGCCCCAGCACCTCTACCAGAGGCTAGGCTGGTCCTAGGTAACCCAGAAGACTCAGGCTTTACTGGACGCCAGGCTGCTAGAGACTCAAGAAGACTTCCGTTTTAGTGGAGGCCAGGCCAGATCAAGGGACCCAAGACCCTCCATGCCCCAGAGGAGACATCCTAATGGACCTGAAGACTCACCAGTCACCAGAACCCTTGGCCACTTAGGCCAGAAGACCAGAGAGGAAACAGAAACCAAGGAACAAAACACCCAACCAACAAAGACAAACACAGAAATCAACACTTAGACCTATAATCTTTCCAAATTCAGATGCCTAAATGCCAGTGTAAGAACACAATCAATAACAGAAAGGGAGTGGTTAAGAGCACTGGCTGCTCTTCCAGACATTCTGAGTTCAATTCCCAGCAACCACAAGGTGGCTCACTACCATCTGTAATGAGATCTGGTGCCCTCCTCTGGTCTGCAGGCATACATGCAGACAGAATATTGTATACCTAATAAATAAATAAATAAATTTTAAAGAAAAAAGAAAAATAGAGAGGGCAATATAACACCTCCACAAACCCAGCTATCATACAACAGCACATCCTGAACATTCCAACGCAGCTGAAGCACAAGAAAACAACCTTAAAAATAACTTTATGAAGATGACACAAGTCCTTAAAGAGGAAATGAAAAATTCCCTCAAAGAAGTTGAGAAAAAGACAAACAAAAAATTAGAGGAAATCAATAAATCCCTTAATGAATGCCAAAAAAAAGCAAAGAAAACAAACAAACAAACAGGTGAAGGAAACAGTTCAAGCCCTGAAAATGGAAATAGAAGCAATAAAGAAAACACAAGCTGAGGGAATTCTGGAAATGGAAGTGAACAGGAACCACAGATGCAAGCATCACCAACAGAATACAAGAGATGGAAAAGAGAATTTCAGGTGTTGAAGATACAATAGAGGAAATAGATTCATCAGTCAAAGAAAATGTTAAATCTAAAAAGTTCCTAACACCAAACATCCAGGAAATCTGGGACACCATGAAAAGATCAAGCCTAAGAGTAATAGGAACAGAAGAAAGAGTAGAATCTATGCTCAAAAATCCAGAAAATATATTCAGTGGTCCTTGAGTTTGGGCATCCAGCTTAAGTATGTACTATAGTTTGAATCTGGACTATGTCTCAAAAGCCTATATATGCTGAAGACTTAGTCTGCAGTCTGCTGCTATTGAGATACAATGGAAAGTTAAGAGGCGGGGCTTACTGGGGGATTGTCCCATCATTGGTGGCAGCATACTTTTAAATGGGACAGTGGAACCCAGGACCTTGTATGCATACACTCTTACATGTTCTCTTTCCCTCCCTCCTCTCCTCTCCTCTCTCCTCTCCTCTCTCTCTCTCTCTCTCTCTCTCTCTCTCTCCCCCCTCTCTCCCCCACCTCTCCCCCTCTCCCTCTCTCTGGGGAGCTATGTGTGGGTGTGTGCATGTGAACGCTGGTGCTCACAGAGGTCAGGGGTGTTGGATCCTATGTGGCTGTAACTACAGATGGTTGTGAGCTGTTGGATACGGGTTTGGAGAACCAAAACTAGGTTTTCCCAAGAGCAGTACATTCTCTTAACTACTAAGCCATCTTTGTAGCACCCTCGTTCTCCTTCCCCTTTTAGGAACGAGGGAGTAGCTTTGCTGCCATACATTTCTACTGTCATATGATGCCTTAACGCAGGACCAGCAACAAACAAGTAATTATGGACTCAAAGATCTGTAATTATGAGCCCAAATAAAGTCTTTTAAAGTTCATTTGTTTACAGTAATAGAAAGCTAACTAATAGGGCTGGGAATGCAGCTCAGGTAGATTGAGGCCTGGCATGAATAAAGCCCTGGGTTTTAATTGTGATTAGTGGTATATAACTATAATCCTAGTACCTGAGTGAGAAGGAAAAGCATCTGGAATTCAAGATCAGCCTCAGCCATGAAAAATGTTTGAAGCCAACCTAGGCTACAATGAAACCCTTTCTAAAAAACAAAACAAAACACAAACTAATGTTCAACAACACATCGCACAGCTATGCCTTTTAACACTAGACTTCAGCCATATTTGCAGATTTGCTTCTTGCTATCTAATTAGATCTCAAATATACAAAATGAAAAAAAAGAGTCAAACTAATTCTTAGCAATGGTAAGGATAAACAAGTTACCTATTATTTTCAAAATATTTGGGAAATCCCTCAGATGACAGAAACAACAGATGGGTGTTTTTTGAGTTTCTCAGTGCTATGACAAAATTATCTGTGACATCAACACAGAAGTAGAAAAGGTTTAGTTTTGCTCACAGTTTCTGAGATTTCAGTTCCTGCTTGGCCTATCACAAGGCTTTGGGCCTGAGGTAAGACAGAATATCATGGCAACAGGAGTATATAATAGAGGAAGATGCTCACTCATGGCAGTTAGTAAGCAATTGGGAGTCAGAGGCAGAGGAGAACCAGGGGCAAGATTCCCTTCAAAGGCCTGCAACCAGTTACTTAGTTTATACAATTAGTGAAAGTCTGAACATATTGAGAAATACCAAGATAAAAATTAAGAAAGGAGCTGGGAAGGGGGCCTGGAGAGATGGTTCAACAGTTAAAAGCACTGATGCTCTTGCAGAGGACCCACGTTTGATTCCTAGCCCCCACATGGGCGTGTACCACCATCTGTAAATACAGTCCCAGAGGATTCAGTACACCCTTATAGCCTCTCTGGGCACAAGGCACACATAGTACATCGCATATGCATACTTATATATGCCATCTATCTGTCTATCTGTCTATCTATCTATCTACTTACCTATTATCTATCTATCTACCTACCTATTATCTATCTATCTATCTATCTATCTATCTATCTATCTATCTATCATCTACCTACCTATTATCTATCTATCTATCTATCTATCTATCTATCTATCTATCTATCTCTACCAATCTATCAAATAAAGTCAAACTGAGAAATAGGCCTTTTCTATTTATATCTAGTCTATTTTCACAGCAAAATATTTCATTATTATATAAACTTTCTCTCTAAAAAGTAAATTCTAATGAACACACAACTTCTTTTATTAGTTTAATACTTCTTTATACATACCACACAAAGTTCAAATAAAATTATCCCAAGAGACCACACATCTGATTTGGGGCCAGAAGGCAATGGTTTTTCACTTGGCACATGATCAGTAGTTTTGGAAATTCCTTGTGCAATTACCTCAGGTGCCAGATATGAGGGATACCTGTAACACATGTGAAAATAACAAATAATTATAATGAGCTGCAATGGTGATAGAAACAGAGCACATTCTTATAACTAGTGCATGAGATGTAAAAATCCCACACAATTAAATCCACACTGATTACTAGGATTAATCTTGAAATACAGGCCTTTATGTCTAGGAATGAAACTGAATATACAGAAGTCCTAAATCATTTTAAAAACACATCCTATCTCTCCGTGGCACCAGTTGGGTTTCTTGCTCTTTTCTGTGATTATATATTGCTACTACAGCAGGCCTCTAGGCTTCCAAGTGCTTTTCCTTCCTCCTACCAGTTGATCTTCTGCTAACGGTGAATTGTTGTGGTGATATTTTATCTGTGCTGAAATGTGATATTTTATTTGTATGTTAATAAATAAAGTTTGCCTGAAGATCAGAGGTCATAGTCAGCCATAAACAGAAGTCAGGAGGTGGTAGCACATGCCCTTAATCCGATCACATGGCAGGCAGAGTTTCTGGGTGTTCAAGGACACAGCCAAGCGTGGTGACACATGCCTTTAATCCCAGTACCAACCATAGAGAGCTGGAGGTCTGTATAGACAGGCAGTGATGAGGAAGTGATGTGGCTGGGCTTAGAGCCAATGAGAAGGAAGAACAGGAAGGCAATAAAGGCACAGGTTAGACAGGAAGAAGCTCTCTCTTGGGAAGCTATGACAAGGTGGTAAGCTAAGGTTAGTCGGTGGCTACTCGCCATTGCTCTGATCTCTTCAGCTATTACCCCTATATTTGGCTCTGTGTTTCATATTTAATAAGACCGTTTAGAAATTCGTCTACAAATTGTTTCATCATTTGATCTTTGACATAGGAATGGGTTATTGTCAACAGTGTCCTAGTTTGCTTTGCTGTTGCTGTGATAAAACACTGGCCAGAAGCAACTTGGGCAGGAAAAGGTTTATGCCATTTTACAATTATACTCTATCATTGAGGGGAGCCAGAGAAGAAGTTCAAGCATGAATCAAAGCAGAGTTCATGGAGTAATGCTATCTACAGACTTGCCTACAGGCAATCTGATGGAGGCAATCTTCAATAAGGTTCTCTTTTCTCAGATGTCTCTAGCTTTTGTGAAGTTGACAAAAATCTAACCAGTACAAATGACTCCTTGTCAACCTGATACAGAAAACCATCATTAAACTATAACCTTTCCTTTCTTGTTTATCCCCAAGATCTCCTGATAATAATTCAAAATAACAGTATATTTTAAAAAGTTCCACAGTCTTTAAAACATTCAAACACTTGTATGTACATATTTTCAGGGATGCACTGCTGTGGGATGGTCTTTCTGTATGCTGTAAATACATGTTGCTACTATTGGTTAATAAAGAAGCTGTTTTAGACTATGGTAAGGCAAGATAAGAGCCAGGGGGTAAATCCAAGAGAGATATAGAGGAAGAGGGTAGAGTCAGGGCAGATGCCATCCCACCACCCAAGGAGCAACATTCCAGCAGACTTGTAACACCACGGTCACATGGCAATACACAGATTAATAGAAATGGGTTAATTTAAGATGTAATAGCTAGCTAGCAAGAAGCCTCAACCATAGACCAAACAGTTTGTAATTAATATTAAGCCTCTGAGTGATTGCTTCATAAGCTGCTGCAGGCTGGGTGGGACACAGGAGAACTTTGGGCTACAATGCACACTTAGTATTGGGTAACCAATTGGTGTTCTCTGCCCTGGGGAAGACTATTTCTCCTGCTTCCAGCATTTCTTAGTTGTTTGTACTTCTGTGTCTAGGGTTGAGACCTCATGAGTTTTCCTCCTTCCATGTCAGCATGTCTACTGGTGTTATCCTTCTTCAAGTCATGTTTGGACAGCCCTGCTGGTGAGACTTCATGGGTGTAGTATACAGACTGAGAAGGCAATGTTTGTGTATTTAGGGACACGCACACACACAAACACACATACGTATGTAGCAAAAATTAAAGAACAAGAGGCCATGGTTTTGAAAATATGGGTTGGTGGCACATGAAAGGGTTTGGAGGGAGGAAAGGGAAGGGGGCAATAATGTAATATAATCTCAAAAAAATTAAAAAATTCAAACACTTTAAAAGTTCAGTCTCTTAAAAATTCAACATAATTTTAAAAGTTCAAAGTCTCTCAACTGTGGCTTTCTATAAAATAATAATTAAGTTATATTATTCTTATTACAAGGGGCAAGAAACAGGGCGTAGTTATAATCAGACCCAAGCAAAACCAAAATTCAATATTATAAATAGTTCAGTATCCAAGAATACTATGAACCCCAAATTGAATTATTAGGCACTGCATATAGGCATTTTCTATTTTAGTATCGTGTGTGTGTGTGTGTGTGTGTGTGTGTGTGTGTGTGTGTGTGTGTTTCTCAAATTTAGTCATGAGCACCATAATCTGGATTTTTCACTTCATTTACATTATTTTACAACAATAACTCCAAGCAAAATACATGTAAATACATGTGACATCCTCTCCTCATACTATCATTGTGAGACTTATTTATATGTAAAACATAACTCACTTAAGTCTGGATATGTAAATTGAATAAAACTAGTTTATTAAATGGTTAAATCATTATTCATCAGAAAGACATAAATATTCCTTTAATATACTCATGTATTCCTCTTATATATAAATTTGTGGATGACATTTTACCCTCAAATGATAATACTGCTTTTCTAAGTGAATGTGTGGAGTCTGTAAAAGTAGCTAAAGTCTGATTCAAAAGCACCGTATGTAGTGGTCTAGCATCTGTGTTCCGCTCTTTGAACCATGCTTTTTTGTTTTAAGGTACCAGAGATGGCCTTGTACCTGTTCCACAATTGCTCTGCCCCTGAACTTCATCCCCAACAAAACCTACTCTTTAATTTCAGTAAAATCTGATGTGGCTTTCTTCTTCTGTAGAAAGGAATGATAATGCCCACCACACAAAACTGTTGTAAACATTAATACATAAAGATGCTCTATAAAAATAGAATATGTGGCTGGCCGGTGGTGGTGCATACCATTAATCCCAGCACTCTTGGGAGGCAGAGGCAGGCAGATCTCCGTGAGTTTGAGGCCAGCCTGGTCTACAGAGCTAGTTCCAGGACAGCCAGAACTACATAGTGAAACGGTCTCAAAAAACAAAAACAAAACTAGAATAGGTGACACAAACCCCATGTTGTACTTTCATCATTGTCATCACCATGACATATCTAAAATGTAAGTTTTCCATTTTTATTCCTGACTTTGAATATATTAATTCAAAATCATAATACAGTTCATGAAAAGCCAAACAAAGCTATAATAAATTGGTTCACCAAAAACTTTGGACAGAAGCACAGAAGTAACCTTGTTCTAAAAATTCTGGGTCTCCTTTAACCAGACAGAAATTCATAAAGAGCCTTAAAATGGCCTTTAATGGAGGGCATCATCTTTCAGCAACTTTCTCTTAAGTGTCTCATTCTAACCCTCAATAAAAATGACCAGAACTTCACTTTGAACATGGCCGGTGAGGTAAATGCAAGTGACTTTTATCATCTGCAGCTTTAACAGGGCATTAAGCTACTGTCCAATCAAAATGAATGCCCAATTTATAATTCCTTCCAATATTTTGAAGCAGATGGTAACACTTACGTTCCTTAATATCTGTCACTGGAGTCAACTGCGAGCCTCCTCTGATGTAAAGGCTCTTTCTGGCCTTGCTGTTTGATCACTTATTTTATTTTTCCTGGCTAATGTTTCACACTTTGTGCTTTATAGCTTCCAGTAAGATCCTTTGAAACTCAGACTTCAAAGTAAGCTGTGTTGAATGCTAATACAAGACCATGTCTACAAAAGCATTTTAAAACCAAATGATTGATATGCCTTAAAAAACTCCCTTCTATTTATCACCAAAACCTAATGAATTCTTAAATGCAAGTCAGAAACCTAAAGCAACATTTGTTTTGTTTTTAGTTTTCTTTCATAGAAACTGATTTAGACAAAATGCAGATGTTATAGTAGTCATGTCTACCACAGCTCTTTATGGAAAATGGTAATGATCACATAAGGTAGAAGCTCAAACTTAACTAAGAACTTAAAATCAAAAGGATGTTTTCTTCTATAAGAACTTATTAATGATTATTATAACATTTTTATGTTTATGAATAAAATTGTGCTCTACCATTGTCAGTATGTGAAATGTTAAAATTATGAATTTGTATATCTTAATAAATAAGCCATCAGTACAGAAAATTAGCCCATTGAGGAATGAGTTGCTTAAGGACAAGAACTAATATTAGCTTTGTGCATAAAATAGGCAGACCAGAAAGTGCTCAATAAATGTTTCCTTACTAAATAAAGTCTCAATAGCCTGGACTACACAGTGAGTTATGTGCCAGCTTCAGACAATGGTACAGACAAACGAACAAAACAAAAACAAAAAAGAAACCTACAGGCCAGGTGTGGTGGAACATACCTTTAATCCCAGCACTCTGGAAGGAGAAGCAGGTGGATCTCTGTTAGGGTGTGGCCAGCTGGGTCTACACAATGAGTTCTAGTACACCTAGGGCTATGTAGAGAGATGTCTTAAAAAAGCCAAGAGGAAAAAAGAAATCTGCAATCTAAGTTTTTAGAATAAAGGGGGAATTTTTCAAAAATCTAAAAATTTAAGCAATATTCTACTTTGAAAATCTTCTCCATGACTGCTTATCCCGACTCCTGGTAGTACTAGTACTCCTCCTAGTGTAGTAGAACTGATTCTTGAGAACCCAAGAAGCAAACATAAAAGGATGCTATTAAAATAGCCATGCTGTGGAGATCCATAGAGATTTCCTAGTGAGATGTGAGCTTGCTTTACCCAGCAGAGCTGCATAGGGGAATGACTGGACCACTGGCATGGTTACCAGGTGTTTGGAAGGGTCTGCACTTGGCTGCACAGTGTGCTTTGATCTAGCAAGAGGGAGGTCTTTTGTCCCACCTCTTGGCATTGTTATTAAAAAGCCCTTTTGGAGCCGGGCGGTGGTGGCGCACGCCTTTAATCCCAGCACTCGGGAGGCAGAGCCAGGCGGATCTCTGTGAGTTCGAGGCCAGCCTGGGCTACCAAGTGAGTCCCAGGAAAGGCGCAAAGCTACACAGAGAAACCCTGTCTCGAAAAACCAAAAAAAAAAAAAGCCCTTTTGAAGAGACAGAAGGGGCCAGTGGATTTTGATCCAGGTCCTCCTGAAGCTATCCTATGTTTCTGCCTGTCTCCTCTCTGCTTTCTTTCTATCTTATTCCTCTCTCCTCCTCATAGGAACCCTTTAAAAGGCGGGAGCTGGCCTCCCACAGATGGTGCCAGTACTAGGGACTTGGGTGTGGAGGAAGTAAGAGTAGGAAAACCCCGAAGAAGCAGTTGGACATGTCTGGTTTTGTATGAAAAGGTTAGGCAGTGGTATTTTATTCTTTGGGAGCAAAAACTGTATATAGAAAAATTAGGCTGCAGCAAGTATCTCTCTCTGTCTAGTTTTCTTTCTTTCTCTCTTAATTTCTATCTATTAAATTAGGAAAAAATATAGGGTTTAGGTATAGGAATATTTTGCAGGAAGAAACTTAGGGTAAGTGTAGAATTTCCCTAGTGCCAGATCTGACACACAAAAAACAGTATCCAGAAACAAGTAGCCACTGCAGACTTAGCAGTCTGAGAAAGAGAAGCCGCTATGGGGCAGGAAAATAGTAAGCAGATGTTTGTACATTCTCTTGTAGAAAGTTTGAAAACTACCAGAGTTAATGTAGAACAGCAACAAGTACAGAGGTGCTTAGAGTTCACAGAGGAAATGTGTCCTTGGTTCTCTGACTATGGGACTCTGGACACAGACTCCTAGGGGAGAATCGGAGTTGAAATGCAAAAATATTATGAGGAACATAGGCTGGAAAAGATTCCCATGGAAGCTTTTGGCCTATGGGGACAGCTTAGATCTAAGTCCTTAGCAGCAGGAGGAAATTTTCCTGAGGTGGACATGGATAAAACAAAACCCTCCACTCTGCCAGCAGTGCCACTATATGAGAACACTTTTACAACACGGTTTAATCAGGGTCAGTTCCCTCCTAGTGCTGCATCTCCTCTTCAAGGCAGTATTTGGGCGGCAGCTAGCAGAGGGAGAGAGGTGCAAGGCTTTCAAATGTTCCTCGTAATTGAACAGCCAGATGCCCAGGACAATAGTAGTGAATGTAAATGGAGCCAGGGGTGCAGTGGCCACTATTGGCTGTGGCTGGGTTTCCTCCTGGAGCCAGGGCTGCTTGGCACTGTTATAAAAAGCCCTTTTGAAGAGACAGAAGGGGCCAGTGGATTTTGATCCAGGTCCTCCTGAAGCTATCTTGTGTTTCTGTCTGTCTCCTCTCTGCTATCTTTCTATCTAAAGGTTTCTTATTCCTCTCTTCTCCTCATAGGAACCCTTTAAAAGGTGGGAGCTGGCTGCCCACACCACACTGCATGTGAACAAATGTGATTAAGATTTCTAGGTTAGGTAAGTTTGGTTTACTCATTTTCATCAGTATTCTGAAGTGATGTAGGAAAGGGCCCTATTGTGAAATATAAGTTTAAGTTTTAGGGATAAAGAGCCAATGTCTACTCAGACTGCCACAAAAATATGAGACATACATAAATTCAATCACAGAAAATGAGAGACAATTTAGACAAAATAAAATGTTAATGTGGAGAAGCTGAAGTACATTCAGAAATTCTTTTCCTTACTTTTGTTGAAAATAATGTAAACTTACGGAATAGAATTACATTATGGAAATGTTTCAGAGGAACCACACAATAATACAGCAGTCTCTATCAGTAACACCTATCTAAATATAGCATGAAATAAAGTTCTACTCATATCTTGGAGGGCAATGTATATCTGGAATTTCATACCAGAGGCAATTAAATACATAAATCTCTTTACTATATTTCTCTATATAGAATTTATCCCATTATCTCCAATATCTACAATGAATCAACTTGAATTTAAAAATACAATTCTATCTTAGAGAACAAGGAACTAAATAAACATAAAACATTAAATTGAAAGTAAAAGAAGTAATGTTTTTCAGTCTATAAATGAACACATACTAGCATTAAGAATCTAGTCAGCTTTCTTACCTTAAACTACTTTTTAATGAAGTGCAATTAGTTAAGAAATATCATAAGGTAAACACAGCCAATGATTTGTGACTCTCTCTATCTGTTCTGTTAAAGATCAACTCAGGAATGTTAGTGATGCTGGGAAAATACTCATTGTCAATGAAGTATATAGGAAATTAAGATGTAGTAAATAAAGAAGAGCTGTTTTCATGTTAAAAATCACTAACAAAATATATATTATCAAAGTTCATCAAGGCTAATATAGAATTCAAAATACAGGAAAACAACTCTTACCCTATTGGGAAATCGACATCATCACCATGAGCTGTCATGTGATAAAGTCCAAATTTAGCCAGTTTAACATGACCCTACAACAAAAAAAAGAGAAAATCACTATGAAATATCTTAATACAATTGCCAAAGAAAATTATAAATATATGTTTCATAAATAAGATAACTGAATGAAAAAAGAAATAAAGAAGAAGGACATGACTGCTCCTGGTATGGTGGAGGAGAAAGTTTATTGTAGATAAAAGGGAGAGCATAGTCAGAGGCAGAGACATTTGGGAGAGTCCAGAATGGACATAACCAGACTGAGTTGGGCCATATAGGGGGTAGGGAGGGAGAGGGGAGGAAGATGCAGCAGCCAGGAGGCCCAGAGCAGATGAAAAGAGAACCAGGCAACCAAAATGGTTGATTATATAGGAAAGGAAAGCAGGGAGGAGGGCAGGCCAGCCCCTGGGTTAGAGAAGTTTAGGGTAGAGTGTTGTGGGATAATGCTCTTATACACTGTAAAGATTTGTCACTCCTATTGGTTTAATAAAACACTGATTGGCCAGTAGCCAGGCAGTAAGTGTAGGAGAGGTGACCAGATTAGGAGAAGGCTGGGAAGAAGAAAGCAGAGATGGAGGTGCCAGCCAGATGAAGAGGAAGTAAGATGAGAATGTTGGACTGAGAAAAGGTACCAAGCCACATGGCTAAACATAGACAAGAATTATGGGTTAATTTAAGTGTAAGAACTAGTTAGTTATAAGCCTGAGCAATAGGCCAAACAGTTTATAATTAATATAAGCTTTGATGTGTTTACTTGGGACCTAGCAGCTGCAGCACACAGGAAAATTTCCGTCTAATGTAGAGGGTTGGGTATGCCAGCCAGGAAGGCCTGTAACAGGTAGGGACTGATGAATAAAGGGAGACTCTAGTGACCAGTGTCCACTTTGATATGTTAAATGGACACCTCAGCCATTTGTTCTTGTTTGAAACCTAACAATAACTATTATGCAACTCAATATAATATTTTTTAAAGATTTACTTTTATGTATATTTGTGTGTGTGTGTGTGTGTGTGTGTGTGTGTGTGTGTGTGTGTGTGTGTGTCTGAGTGTATGCCACAGGGTGCCTGAGGATACCAGAAGAGGGCATCAGATTCCTTGGAACTGTAGTCAGAGGTAGTCATGTGAGCTGCCTGATGTGGGTACAGGGAACTGAACTCAGGTCCTGTGGACAAGCAGCACGTGTTCTTAACCACCAAGCATCTCTCCAGTCATATACATATAATATTTTATCAAAATACTATTTAAGAATTTATAAAACACCACGATTTTATGCAAAATCATCTGTCAATATTTAGTATGCTTTACACTCATTACATATGTATAAATGCTTATAGATACATGTATACATATATACTAATATATATTAAAATGTCTAGAGATAACTCAGTGTTAAAAAGCACTTCCTGCTCTTACAGAGGACTCAGGTCCAGTTATCAGGACTCTCATGGCAGCATGTCCATAATTCCACATCCACAAGACCTGATGATGCCCTATTTTGGTCTCTGTGAGCATCAGGCTTGTGCACAGTGCACAGACATACATGCAGGCAAAAACAACCACACACATCAAGTGAAAATAAATAAGTCTTTTAAAAAAATGTCAAATCAAAAATTTCTTTGACTTTTTGTCATTCACATTATCAAGGCATCAAGACTTTCCTCATTCCTTTTTTTTGTTTTTGTTTTGTTTTGTTTCTCTGTGAACAACTATGGCTGTCCTGGAACTCACTCTGTAGACCAAGCTGACCTCAAACTCACAGAGATCCAGCTGCCTCTGCCTGAGATTAAAGTGCTGAGATTAAAGGCATGTGCCACTACTGCCAGGCAAGACTTTTTCTTAACAAAGAAAAAAAGGAAAAGAAAGTTATCATTTTTCTTGAATCCTTGATTATAATGTTTAATAGACATTTTCCAAAGGAGTTTTTTTCCAGGGGCTTGTAAAGACCATTAGTTGTGAAATGGCAATTTTTAGTATGCAAAATTCACAGTTAAAAAATAATTAAGGGGGGCTGGAGAGATGGCTCAGTGGTTAAGAGCACTGGCTGCTCTGCCAGAGGTCCTGAGTTCAATTCCCAGCAACCACATGGTGGCTCACAACCATCTGTAATGAGATCTGGCACTCAGGCAGAACACTGTGTACATAATAAATAAAAAAATCTTCAAAAAAATTAATATTTCAATAAATTCGCTAGATTTCTGAGTATCTTTTTTGTTGTCTAAAAATAACAATAATAGTCACTAATGTGAGCTCAATAAAAGGAAAGCATTACTTTTATGTCTCTTAAAATGTTTCTTTTTAGGCTTGGGTTTCTTTTTGTAAAGCTGATTTAAACATCATTTGTCCACTGAAGAATTGCTCAGCATTACAAACTGTCCTTGGAAATAATCTTGCTTGGTTATGGCAATGATGCTTCACTGCTATGACAGAAATTAACGAGTGCTGCTGCTTTCTCCTTCGTGAGTTTTGATCCCATAGGGCAGCCGCATTAAACTTTATAAGACTCAGAAAATAATTATATAGGAATAATTGTCCCCTACGTTTCCCAGAAACTGTTTATACATTTATGGAAAAATTAAATTATAATTATTCATGAAAATATGCCACTTTGCTACCCATTAGTGTAGGAGGGTCTTTACCACAATAATCTCCTGTAAGATTTCTAAAAAGAGAAGAAGTAATCCCACAGAAAAGGGGACTAGGGATGAGCAGATAGCAACTGACATCTATAAAGCAGGGAGGAAGGAAGAGTAACAAGGTAGAACAACATGGCTGTGCATATGATAATGGCATTCCATATGAATGGCCAGCACTGCTGTCTTGAGATGTAAGTAACTGAAGAGCAGGAACATGCTGGGAAGCCATTCGATATATCCTTCATGGTTTCTGTCATGGAGCAGCTAACAAGCTCAGTTCACATAAGTCATAGCCCCTTGGAAAAAGAATGAGTGGAGAAAATAAAGAATGAATCTAGGAAAATAAGTTGGGTGTAGTGGAGAAGAATCCATCAATATAATTTTAAAAGTGTTTTTTTGTCTGCCACAAATACATCATTTTCATAAGTCATTACAAATATTCTGAAAACATATTGTTAGTCTATATTCCTCTGATTAATGGAAGATTTCAGTAGCTTTCATTCTCAAACAACATTAAAAATATCTATTACTAGCTAAAAGTTACCTTTCGATCCAACAGGATATTATGAGGAGACAGTGCTCTGTGTACTATGCCATGCTTGTTCAAGTACTGTAGGCCCTGAAGTACCTCAAATGCTATGCACAAAACCTTCATATAACTACAAGGAAAAGAAAAATTCAGAGATCAGTTACAAGGTAAATACAGTCTGCTTAAAAGAAGACATAATAAAAGCATTCAGTAATGCTTTGTTGCACCTCTTCCACTCAGAGAAAGTGGAACATGCACATCTTTAAAACATCTACTTCACATGGAGGTGGCGGCACACACCTTTGATATCAGCACTCCCTGGGGAGGCAGAGAAAGTGGATCTCTCTGTGTTCGAGGCCAGCCTGGTCTACAGAGTGAGTTCTAGGACAGCCAGGCATACACAGAGAAATCCAATCTCAAAAAACCAAATGTGTGTGTATACATATATTTATGTATGTATATGTGACATATGTATACACACACATACATATCTACTTCTACATATTTTGGATTTCCTGATTATAACACAACTAATGTGCTATAGAATCTTACAGTTTGGGCTACAATAAAAGCTATCTTTGTTTTTTCCAGGGAAGAGTTTTAATTTGGGTGTTGTACACTATTTATAGCAGAATGAGATGCATTTGCCACGGACCGGCTTGGTGTTTTACCAAATTATCAGTAATATTTAAAATATCTGGACCAAATCAATGAAAAGCATCAATTCTGTCAAAATAAAAACAAAACAACTAAGTCCACAACAACAAAATATATTTTATACAATATGGACATTGCATAGTCTCATATGAACTCATAAAAGAACTCCAGAAATTCATGCCTTATCGATCACTTGCTTTAATTATTGGCCCGTCCTTTCTAAGCCAGTCTTACAGAGATGCCCATTTCCTTTATCACTTTTCCTGTCTTTCTTCCATTGTCCTTCCCTGAGTTTCTTTAGTATGTACAGAAAACGACAAAGAAATCATTCAATTCAACCTTCCAACTACCAATATTTTTCAATGGACTGTTTTTTCTAGCCATGTTTTATTTTTAAAATTAATATCTGGAAGCAACCACAAAAGTAAACTTTAAAAGAGCTATAGATAATGAGGAAATAGTAGAGATTAAGTGAAATCATTAATTTTTTTTTTTTTTGAGACAAGGTTTCTGTGGGAAACTGCCTTGGCTGTCCTGGAACTTTGTAGACCAAGCTGTCTACCTCTGCCTCCTGAGTGCTGAAATTAAAGGCCTTCGAAATTCATTAAGAATTTTTAAGTAGGAAACATAAGAAAGTTAAAAAACAGCAAATAGCAAGTAATTGATGATGATGTACACATACCAATGATTATGTTAAATGCTAACAGTGCTACTTAACCAACTAAAAGATAAAACTTGTTAAACTTGGTAAGAATTGAGATTCAAGTATACTCAGCTGGAGAAAGCTAAAGAGGACACAGTTATAGGGAAAAGAGTGATTAGTAGATCAGTGGTTGCCATGGGCTTGGGCGACTACAAAGGAGCACAGGCAAAGCTTGAGGCTACTGGAATTGCTCTATTTACAGTTGAGCCATTGCTTATCAGATAGTTCAACTGTACATCAACAGCTAAATCCTAAGGTATGAGAACTAGGCCTCAATAAAATGTACTTAAAAATAGTAAGGTGAATAAATTTTCTTTATAAATAATTCCTGAAACTGGACTCTCTTTCTGAAATTAAAAGAACAAGAAAGAACAAGAGATTAAAAAGCTGAAATATTCTCTTCTCTTATGCCACTTTGGCTGAAGATGCTCCCCATAAGAATCATAGACTAACAAAACCCTCAGAGGCATGAGAAGCCTTCCATGCTGCTGGTGAGGGCAGTCCAGTTCCCAAACAATGCAGGCTATTGTTTCCCTTGAAAACTTCTCAGCAGTTGAAGGTAAGGCCATGTAGCTAAAGAAACAGCACACTTAGAATATAGAACTTGGTTCATTAGAGCTGGATCTTACACGAAAGTCTCCTTCCTGTGGTCTAGCTTTCATAGTACCAGAAAATAAGTACTGTGTAAGCTGCCAAGGGAGGGATACAACTAATAGTTCTACCCAGCTGAGATACCCATGAACCACAATGACCAACATAACAAGATATATGTAGAGGTGCAAATCTTGATGGTAATCAACTGCTGTCTAGTGGACATAAGGACCACTCAAGAGGAGAATAATGTCTAATACTGAAAATTTAGCCAACTCCCCAGGACTAGTGAGGTCATGGATCTCAGAAGAGAACCTACCTCCTACACTTTACCAGACCAGCACAATTCCTTCACTACATTCTAAAAGTTATCCTCATACCAGGAGATATAAGTGTAGCTCTCACCCCTCATCAAAAAACTTCTCTCTACAGCAGATGGAGCCCATTACAGAAGCTGGATACCACGCAGGATTAATGGACTATGGGAGACTCAGCCCCAATGGATATACCCACAGCACAGCTCCTGCATGTAGATGGCTCAGGAAAGATTACTAAAGAAGGGATGGAAAGATTGAGTCAGAATACCAGGAAGGCTGCTGTGAGAGGGACTTACAAGGGGATGCAGAAACAAGACCTGAAAAATGACAATATCAATAGACATGCTAATGAGGAAGGGGAGAACATCTCCCAGGGTCCCAGTCCTAGACAGAGAACTACAGGGGACTGACTGCTGAGAGAGGGGGAGTTAGCCTCTCTTGGAGATGACTGCCCTTATTAGTTATCTGATATGACTTAGTCAGCTCTGAAGTCCTATACATGCAAATAACAAAAATTGTGCTCAGGAGGCTGTATTTACATACTTGTGCATATATTTATATGTAACAGTAATAATTAAAAAAGAGGCTATCAATTTGAAAATGAGGTATATCAGAGGAGCTGAAGGGAAGAAAGGAAAGGGGGAAGTGATGTAAATATATTTTAATTAAAATGTTAAAAAACAGAAAATATTTTCAAATAAAAAAACATAGTTTAAGCATCTCATTTGACTGTATAAATTAACTTTAGCTTCCCTTATTATTCTTGCTCTCTCCCTCTCTCTCTCTCTCTCTCTCTCTCTCTCTCTCTCTCTCTCTCTCTCTCACACACACACACACACACACACTCACAATAGCTTATAAATTAGTGTCATATTCAGCACTACCACTAGAGGTCATCAACTGCACAGTATTTCAACACAGATGTCTAAGGAAATTGGAATCAAATCTTTACAATCACTGTTTTCATTAAACCAATTTTTGAACAGCTGAATACAGAAGACTCATTCTACTTCCTATAGTGTTTTTGTAAACTGATATTAGATTTGTATGTCAAAAATATATTCATATTAAAATGAAGGGGTGTATATATCAAAATAAATTTTATTTACAGAATTTTAAAAACTAAAGTTCATGATGAACTCAATTAGCTGCATTCTTGGCTACTGTTTGAGACTATTTGGGAATCACAGTTAATGGGCCCAGTATCTTCAACTTGAATCAAACAGTAAATCAGACTTACTTTTCTGTTTTTTATACACTTAGGGTTTAATTTTTTAAATTTATTTTAAAACACAAAATAAAAGGAAAAGGAAAATATTACCGTTTTAAATACTGAAGACAATGGTGAATGATAATTTTGGAACTTGGTATACTTGTTTTGAGGGATTTTGGGAGGAAGGGGTGTTTGTTTTTGAGACAGGGTCTCACTACAAGGCCCTTGCTGTCCTGGGACTCGCTCTGTAGACCATGCTGGTACTAAACTCAGAGATACACCTGCCTCTGCCTCCTAAGTGCTGGGACTAAAGACATGTATTACACTTACTTATTTTAAACCTGGTTTTCTTAATATGGTCAATAAATTTGATATGAAATCTTTTTTTTTTTTTTTTTTTTTTTTTTGGTTTTTCGAGACAGGGTTTCTCTGTGTAGCTTTGCGCCTTTCCTGGAACTCGCTTGGTAGCCCAGGCTGGCCTCAAACTCACAGAGATGAAATCTTTTTTTAAGCAATGTAATTATAATGTAATAGCAAAATAAAAATATCTAATAGTTAACATATAACAGTTCACTTGTGTGCTGTGGCACATGGACCCCCATATATATATATATATATATATATAATATATATATATATATATATATATATATACAGTGTAATGCTTTATATAAATCAGAATCTTATAAATAACTAACATTGAGTATCAGTTTAAGTCAGTAAATTTTAGTTTCTGTGGTATGGTTTGAAGTGGTACGTCTCACATAGACTCATATGTTTGAATCATTGGTTCCCTCAGATGGTAATACAGTTTGGGAGGTATGAGGACCTTTCGGATATTGTGTGTCAATGGGACACACAGGCCATTGGGGGCGGGGAGGATTAAGATAGGTTGACTCTATTTCTTCCCAGTTTGCCAAGACGTAGGCAAGCACCAGAAAGCTCCCAATAACAAATCCTCCCCGTGATGGATTATATCTCATGACCCACTGGGGAGAATAAATCCTTCTTCCCTTAAGTCATCTGCTAGACATTCTGTTAGAGCAACAAGAAAATAACTAATACTGAACATCATCAGTACCAAGAAGTAGAGTTCCCATGATAAGCCTGACCATGTGTTTCTAGGTCTCTGGAATTTGTAGGAGGAATTTGTATGTTTGGAGTTACAGGCTAGAGAATCTGAGAATGCTATATGGAAAGCTTAACAGATGATTCTGAAGGGAGTGTGAAAGACCAGAATGCTGTAGAAATGAGATCATAAAGCTTCTCTCACCAAGTTTCAAAGGGAACAAGCATTCTATTGGGAATTGGCCTAGAGGCCACTCATGTTATAAACTGGCAAATCATCTGGATGAATGCTTGCCTGTGCTGAGGACTTGACTGTGACTGAATTAAAAAGTAATGGACTACTTGTCTGGAGGAGGAAATTTCAAGACTAGATAGCATTCAGGCTGTGGTGTGGCTATACTCACTGCATTTAGCCAGACTTACAGTCACAGGAAGACTAGAAAGTAGAGCAGAAAGAGGGGCCAAAAGAAGCCAAAAATGTGCAGTTTGGTGAAGAAGGGAACATGAACCAAGTTAAAGCCACAGACAAGGTGAGCATGGACAAGGCAGCTGTAACTGTCAAAGAGTCATTAATGAGAACC